CTGCTGAGAAAAAAAATAAGTCAAATACTAAATTTGCTAGCTAATGCAAGTATTAGTCTGCTAGCTGCATGTATAATTGTGTAAGTTTCTAGAAGCTTCTCATCAGGCAATCTTTTCACACAGAATCTTTGTTCCTGTCTAGTTTCCTATTTCAGGCCCCCATAATCTGTCTGCATATTATCTTTTTTGAGAGGGAACAGGTTTTGTTGTGACCTTCATCCTCAGTCTTTTGTTCCAGAGTCTTGGGAGGATAGAAGGCTGACTCTACTGCCAAATTGTAGTTTTGATATATTGACAACCAGGACATTCCCGCAACTTCAAGCTTTGGCTGGATCTGCTGGAAAATCTGAAGGTCTGTTGTCATTGCTCCAATTGCTGCTTATGTCACTTAGTTCTGAGAAAATCTAGAAAGAATTGGCATTTCTATTAATAGAAAAATGCCAGTCATCGATAGCATAGCAGTACAAGAAACCACTGCTATTACTGAAGGGAGCACTGCCTGGGAATTAGGGTGATGGATATTGGATATTTGTAAGGCCTCATTAATAGGGGAAAGGGATATCAAATTGTGCACCACAGGCATTTTTACATGACTATAAAACAATACAATCTTGGAAAAATAACTGAAAATCTGTACGTAATTTACAAAAACCAGCAACTGTTAGGAATTACTTTGGGGGTGGAAAGATGTATCCAAACCAGTCTGAATCTGAACTGTAATGGTTTTAGATGGTTAGAATTTCCTCTTTATATTCTCTCTCTATTAATTTCTACATCCTTGTTCATTAAACTGTCCATTTCTGTTAACAATTATTTTACCTGTTTTCTCCATTTAATCTTTCCCATATTCTTTTAGAAGTAAATGGCTACATACATTATACCTGCTCTGCAATCTGCAGCTTGTTAAGGACCTAAGTCAACTTCTACAGGATTTAGGCTTTTATTTTTTAAAAGTTTCTGGTCTATATCACAAAGAAAGTCATGATATAATCCAATTCAGTATTGTGATTTTTTTTTTGTATGTTTGTGCTCTGCTTTTTTTGTTTCTCAGTTTTTAATTTCTGGAGACTGATGGCCTTACATGGAAAGTACTGTTCTGCAATCATTTCTATACATTATTAACTATTAACTTCTGGCTAGTTTACAGTTTTATTGGATGAACGACTTCAAAGAGAGAAAAGATTGGTTGTTGGCAGGTCCATTTTCAGGGACTCTTAAAGCTAACACTGAAGTTCACTCAGACTAATTGACTTGCAGAGTTTCAATTGAAATAGTATTAATTTCTTGTTTCCTGTAAATTCATGTTGTAATAGTGTTTGAACAGATAATCACGATCAACTGAGACACTTGGTCTTGCAGGTCACAATACATGTAATATTATACATGCAGCACAATTTAGGACATGTAGTTGATTTTTTTTCTACCTGAAACCTTCCATGTTGGGTTCTGTAGGGCTTAGGTGTCTGACTAGGAGTTAGAGCAAAAACAACAGCAATAAATAAAAGTACAATTTAAGCCGTTGGGGGTAACTTGATGGAAAGTGGGTCAATATTAATTTTAGAGCCCTTGAGTAACTTTGGAAACCTTACCATAGTTGATTTACATACGTTTTGTGGAGCTAAATTTAGTATCTAGATTTAAATCTTTCTTTTACCAAATGGAAGATTTAGGTTTTGTAATTAAAAGGGAAATAGTCACCAGGGAAAATTACTGGCTTGTACTATGAATGTGTTTAATCGTTGTTCAGCATGACAAGATCAATTTGATGACTTCAGGTCTAATTTGTAGCAAGACTTCCATTTGGGGCTTGCTGCCTTACACTATAAAATACCCCAAGAATATGGAGGAGAACATGAGTGACTGGTGCCTCCTGAATCTGGGGAGGCACCCACAGAAGCCGTTGATGGTGGCAGCCCTGTCAGGGGGACACCAGCCCTACCGACAGAATCAGTGTCAGCCTTTGCGGGGAGGGAGGGCACTGGCCCCATCGGGGGGGCACATGCACCTCCGTGCACCCACTAGCAGTTGCCTATGGAGGAGAAATTTCCTTTATGCCTTCACAAACAAATCTCTCAAAATGTTCGTATTATTCATCCCAACACAAATTCCCTTTTTTCACTTAATGCTACTATTTTAAAGAAACCAATTGATTTTATTTGCCACTCCTTTTTTTTTTTTTTTTTTTTTTTTTTTAGAGACTTCTATCATATTCCATCTTAATTATTTCCTCTTTCTCTGGCCTCTTTCCTTGCATCTGTGAAGGATTTTTAGACTCATATTAGCTTATCAAGCCATTCCTGGACCCCTTTTTTCCGTCTTAGTGTGCTTGTCTGAGTTATGGAAGAAAACTATCCCCCTTTTTAGATCTTACCAATACAAGGAAATAGATTGGCAGTCTCAGTGAAATAATGATTCTGGAACAAGCCTTTTATTCTGAAAGGTAGATTCCACCCTATAGTATTGTTTGTCAGTTTCCCTAAGGAGACAAGCATTTAATTGACTTCTGATCTTGCCTGGCTAAAATAACAAATGGAAGAAATGGAAAGGAAGCCACGACATTTAAAGGACCTTCAGAATTTTGTCTTTTTTTAAAAATATTTTTATTTTTTTTGGTGTAAAACTTGTGGGGGGCATTTGACTGTTTAAACACCTAGCTGCAAAATCCAAAAGGGAGGCATAAGCTTTGTTCAGAATATTTGATAAACTGCTTGGTGATGAGTCAAAAGTTATCCATGAATAATCATGAGATATATAATTGCATTCCAGAACCTATTTAAAATTTGACAGAGATTAATTTAAATTGTCGACAAGGCACAATGATGATAACATAAATAGATAGATGCTTAACACCCAAGGCCAAAAGAAAAGTTTCTGTGACTGGACTTTGAATGTTATGAAGCATTTGCTACAACATCTGCAGTTTTCTTTTCCCTGCTAATTGCTGTGAACTTGTCTTTTGAAATCCTTGAATATATCTAAAAAGAGTTTTAATTATAGTGAACATACCAGAGAGGTGTGGCTTGAAACTGAATCTAAAAGTTTATCATAATCTACATACTGGAAATACTTTGTGCTACTCTAAAAAGAAATTCACAAAATTTCATGATAACTTTTAGAAATCAGTTAGATAGTATATCCTGTAACACTGCTGAGATCTGAACTTCTTTTCATTTTTTGTTGACAGCATTTTGAATGAAATATAAGATCTGCCAACAGCTGTGCTGATATGAATGCTTTATACCCATTTCCCAAGCGTTAATAGATCAACAATGTCACTGATATTTAAAATGTGATCATGAATATAGTTCATTTGCGTGGACTGGTAATGAGCATGAAAAGTAGAAAATGTAATACATAATGAATTTTGCTACTCAGAATTAATGATCATTCTTTATCATGTCTCCCCACAAAAACAAAATATTTTTATCAAATACCATTTTTCTCTGTACTTATTTTCTACATTTCATATGCAGAAATGAAATAGTAGAATATGCCTCTAATATAAAGAAAAAATCACATTTGCCTTACTTACATTAACAGTTCCAATGAATCAATCTAAAACAGATGAAATTTAAGTGAGGTGAGCATGTATTGTTTTAAATAGACCTAAAAGAAAGTGTTTCTTTAAAGTAGGACAAAATTACTTTTTTTTAACCTTTATACGTTCCCATGGGGTAATTTCATACCCCAGATGCATATTTTGTACAGCATCTTAAAGTTAGTTAATTCTAATTTTTTTTTTTTTTTAGGACATTCTCACCGCTCTCTGTGGATGAGAAACTGCCCAGGGTAACTTGTTACCCCAATGCAATTTCCATATAAATGACAGGCCTAGTCCTGTTTGACCACTTTGGGTGGATGCATCTGAAAGGTCAGCATTCATTCACACCTCATTCATGTCCACTTTGGGTATCCACGGTTACTAATGGATGGCCATCCTCCACTCTGTGTTTGCAGAAGATGTGGTAATCCCCTTTTTTGCAGGCTGCAAAGTCATCAAAACATCCTGCCCCTTGCCAATCCCACCCCCTTTTTCATGCCCAAATGCACCTCTGCTCTCTTTTCTCATGGCAAAACTCTGCTTCACCTCCCCCTTTCATAACATACAAGCTAGTTTGCCCTGCTTTTGTTGGATGTGAGGACAAGGAGCAAAGGGATTGCAGAAAAGAAATAGAACATCATATTTCAATACAGCGTACACTATGGAGTTCGCTTCAGTGGTAAGGGCTTGACACCCCCCATGCCCCTGTTACCTGCTTTCAATAAGCCCCATGCTTGTGTGGTTTCCGAACAGCATCCATCCACATTTCGCTTTCCTGTAAAGGGTGGATGCTGGTCTCTGGCTTCTATACCCAGGAGGAGAGGGTTCTACCTGTGCTTCCATAGGGCAGGCTGGAATTGCTTCTGTATTAGCATAGGTGAACAGGCTTGTCTTTCATTTTTATTTATATGCATTCAGCAGTAATCAGTTTTTTTTTCTTTTTTTCTGCAGTCCAGGATGAAAAGGCAGCGCATTTTCAGTGCTGAAGCCTTTCTTGCACAGGTAACCAGGGATGACAGTGCACATCCACTGATGAAATCTTATCCCAAGGCAGTGAGGATGCAGACTTTGTTACAGATATGGAAGATTGTTCAGAGCAAGAAGACCATGTGTCTATGGAAGCTTCATCTAGCTCAGATGAGGAGTTGGTGCTACAAGCAGAAGTGATGCGAACACTTCCAGAGGGAAAGGGAAGAGGACCAGCCTGGGGCTGCTGTGGAAGACTGAGGATAGCTACAGCAGGACATGGAGCAGAACCATTGCTATCACCCCCAGAAAATGTTGTAGATGATGACACCAGGAAGGAATGGCAGTGTGTGGGGAAAAAAAGTCAACAGCTAATACAAAATTGGAAAACAGCCAAGGACATAGTCTATGAAAGTTCTGGCCCAACAAGAGAAAGCATTAAAGACACAGTGGTGGAAACATTCCACCTCTTTCTTTCACAAGGTATTCTGACTATTATCATAAGATAAACAGAGAGGCAGAGAGAAGATTCAGGGAGTGGAATGATAGCCATCCTAAAAATAGAAAGGAGTGGAAAAAGCTGCATAAAACAGAGCTGGAAGCCTACATTGGCCTTCTACTGCAGAGTGATCTATACCAGAGTGTTCACAAGGCACTGGAGGGGTTGTGGGAGCAACGTACCGGGCATCCTTACTTCTATGCCACCATGAGTTTAAAACAATTCCGTCAAATCACCAACTACCTGAGATTTGACAACAAACTGACACAAGAGGAAAGGAGAGCTGTGGACAAGCTTGATACCTTCAGAGATATTTGGATACAATTCGTGGAACAGCTCAAGAAGTGGTATATTCCAGGAGTACAACTGATGGTTGATGAGCAGCTTATTATGTTCAGGGGTCATGTCCCTTGAGACAGTAAATGCTCAGCAAGCCTGCCAAAGATGGCTTGAAAATGTGGTGGTGCTGTGATGCAGCAGCATCATTCCCCCTGTTTGGAGACATCTACCTGGGCAAGCAACCAGAAGCTCCATGCCAAGGTAATCTTGGTACCCAGGTCATTGAAAAACTGAGTCATCCCTGGTACAAGATGGGAAGGAATATTGTGGGTGACAATTTCTTCACAAGTACTGACTTGGGAGGAAGACTGCTACATTAGGACTTGACCTATGTGGGTACAATTCAGAAAAAACAGTACAATATCTCAAATGAAATGCAAGCAAATTGAGGAAGGGAAACTTTTTCATCCATTTTTGCTTTTGATGGGGAATTCACCCTCATTTCCTACGTTACAAAGAAGTCCAATATTGTGCTGTTGCTGTCAAGCATGCACCATGACCTATCAGTGGGTGAAGAGCAAAGAAAGCGGGACATCATGCATGACTACAATAAAAACAAGGGTGCAGTGGATAACCTTGACCACTTTGTTTGTATGACCACATGCAGGTGGAAAATCAGCATTTGGCCAATGACACTATTTTTCAGTAAGCTGGATGTGGCTGCCATTGCCAGCCTCATCATTTGGCTAGGCCACAATGCAAACTGGAAGCAAGGATCACATTTAAGAAGATGGAGCTTTTTTTTGCAGAAGCTTGGTGAACAGTTGATCAAAGGACAAATGAAATGAAGAATGATGGATACATGTTATCTGTATAAGTCTGTCAAGTCTGGTATAACTCCCCTAAATTACAAATTGCCACAACACACCCCGGTAGAACTTTTTGCAAGCATGAGTGTACGTTGTGCTTTTTGTCCAGGGGCAGATGACCGCAAAACCCAGAAACGATGCAAGGATTGTAAGTAATTTGCTTGTGTGCACCACAGTACATCACTGCTGCCTTGTGAGGAATGCAATATTTAGTTTAAACAGTTAAGAAATGATTTTGGAAGTAATTGCTAGTTTGAAAACAGCGTGAACTGCAGACTTAGCGAATTCACATTTTGAAACACTAAAAAAAGTTTGAATTTTGTTCATAGTTCTAGTTAAATAATATTTTGGGTTAAATTATCATAAATACTCTCTCAAACAATCTGTATGTTTAATAAATAGTTTTGGTACATTTATACTGTTGTCACTGGTTCCATTTTATTCATGCGGGTGGGGTAACAAGTTACCCCATGAGAACAACAACAGTTATGGTTTCATGAGAACAGATGAGGGTTAATATTAAGGTTCTGTTTATAGAAGTCTTATAAATAAGTATTGGACAGTATAAACATGAATAAAACGTGTTGCATTTGGTTATGAGGGAGGATTTGAGGCAATATCTCCTGCTCAAGGAGTGACCAAGCCACTAATATTTTTTATTTTGAGGCTGGGTTCCATCAGTCTCCCAGATGACATTGTCCCACTTTAAAAAACAAACAAACAAACAAAAAACAAAGAAAGAAATATTCATTGAATTAAAACAAGATAGAGGAAAAAAGTAGTTGTATAGACTGGTGAATGGGGTACTGACCTGACAAAGGAGACATCTAAGTTCCACTCGCCGCTCCAATAAATGGTGGTTAGGGTAGTCTCTTTGGAGATGAAGTCCCAAAGCAGATAAGAATGCCCTTGCCTTCCCCTCTGTTCTCAGAGGTACACCACCTCATTTCTCCTCCCATTTCATGTTCACCCTCCCCTGGGCTCTTCCTTGGCTCCTGCATCACCACTCACCAGGCTGCCAGCAGTGGGTGCTGGCAGGGGCAACACGATCCTCATCTGGGTGGGCAGGGATGAAACAGGACCATTCCAGGCTGGCAGGGGTAGCATGGGCGTAGTCGAGGTGGATGGGAGCTGGTAGCGTAATGCAGGCCTCATCTAGGCAGGATAAGGCAATGTGTGCCTCAACTGAGAGGGTGGGGGTTGATGGAGGTGTACAGGCCTGATCTGTGAGGACAACAGAGGCCTGATCCAAGCAGGTAGGGGTAACATGGGCCTGATCTTGGTGGACAGAGGCTGATGGGGGCTACTCAGACCTGATCCTGGTAGGCAGCGGTGATGCAGGCCCAATCCTAGAGCAAGGGGTCTGCGGGGGGTGGCACAGGCTCAACCTTAATGTCTATACCACCTATACAGAGGAGCCTGTACTACTACTTGGTAGCTCCTAGCCATGGCCCTGCTCACCAGCCATCTAACAACAGGTCAGAACTATGTACGTTAGGATGTTAACCCGTAATATGTGGCTGCTCGCCTCAGTCTTCATAGGCAAGGTCAGCTCACAGGCTACTGCACCTGGCAGCACAGTCTGGTAAGGAGACGAGCAGACAAGTGTGGCAAAAGAACAGGTCAGGGACTATTTAGAAATGCTGTACATATACTAATCCATGGGGCCAGAGGGGATGCACCCAAGGGTGCAGTGATGCCACTGGCTATCATTTTTGAAAACTCATGGCGATTGGGAGAGGTCCTGGATGATGGAAAGGGGCAAATATAGTGACCATCTTTACGAAAGGGAAAAAAGGAGGATCCAGAAAACTATAGACCAGTCAGCCTCACCTCTATCCCTAGAAAAATCATGGAGCAGGTCCTCAAGGAATCTATTTCTAAGTACTTGGAGGACAAGAAGGTGATCAGGAACAGCCAGCATGGATTCCCCAGGGACAAGTCATGCCCGATCAACCTGATTGCCTTCTAGGACCAGACAACTGGCTCTGGATGTGGGGAGAGCAGTGGATGTAATATACCTTGACTTTAGCAAAGATTTTGATATTGTCTCTCACAAAATTTTCACAGGTAAGCTAAGGAAGTATGGGTTGGATGAATGGACTGTAAGATGGATAGGAAACTGGTTGGATCATTGGGCTCAGAGGGTAGTAGTCAATGGCTCAGTGTCTAGTTGGCAGCCAGTATCAAGTGGAGGGCCTCAGGATTGGTTCTGGGGATGGTTTTGTTCAATATCTTTACCAATGACCTAGAAGATGACATAGCTTGTACATAGAGTGTCATCAAGTTTTCAGATACCATGAAGCTGGGAGGAGTAGTAGATACACTGGAGGGTAGGGTTAGGATTCATAGACACCTAGACTAATTGAAGGATTGGACCAGTAGAAATCACATGAGGTTCAACAAGGACAAGTGCAAAGTCCTGCACTTAGGATGGTACAATCCCATGCACCAGTACAGGCTGGGGACTGACTGGCTAGGCAACAGCTCTCCAGAAAAGGGTTTGGAGGTTTACAGTGGACATTAAGCTTCACATGAGCCAATGATGTGCCCTTATTGCCAAGATGGCTAATGGCATACTGGGCTGCATTGTTAGGAGTCTTCCCAGCAGATCAAGGGAAGTGATTATTCTGTCTTATTATTCACTGGTGAGGCCACATCTGGAGTACTGTGTCCAGCTTTGGAGTCCCCACTACAGAAAGGACGTGGACAAATTGGAGAGAGTCCAACAAAGGGCAATGGAAATGCTTAGGGTGCTGGGGCATCTGACTTCTGAGGAAAGGTTGAGAGAACTGGGCTTATTTAGTCTAGAGAAGAAAAGACCGAGAAGGGATTTGATAGCAGCCTTCAGTTACCTGAAGGGTGGTTCCAAAAAGGATGGAGCTAGCCTGTTCTCAACGGTGGCAGATGACAGAACAGGGAGCAATAGTTTCAAGTTGCACTAAGGGAAGTTTAGGTTAGCTGTTACAAAGAATTTTCTCACTAGGAGGGAAGTAAAACACAAGTTACCCAGAGAGAAGGTGGAATCTGCATCCTTGCAGGTTTTTAAGGCCTGGCTAGACAAAGCCTTGGCTGGGATGATCTAGTTGGGGCTGGTCCTGTTCTGAGCAAGGGGTTGGACTAGATGACCTCATGAGGTCCCTTCCAACCCAAATTGTCTATGATTCTAAGTTTAGTACAGCCTAACATTCTTTCGAGTTAGCAGGTGCTAATTATAATGTGTAACTGCACCCTACGCAGAGAACGCTGCCAGGTCTGTGTTTTATGTATGTAATCTGAAAAAAAAAATTCAGATGTTCAGATCCTGCCTGTTCTTCTGCTACCATTGTCATTTAACCTAAATAGCTCTTCTCCCTCTCTGATGTTTATCCCTGTGATTTTTCTAGGCTCAATAAGCTGAGCTCTTCTAAGTGCTCCTCATGCTTAATTACTTCTCTTAAAAGTCATCTTCCTATATTTCTAGGTTTTTATCTTCATTTAGTGAATATACTTGACACAATTTCACACTTTTATTTGGATACTGTTTAATGTTCCTTTCCATTGTTTTAATTTATTATTTTTGACACTGATATACTGATATGAGATGGATTAACCAGTACCTGCATGTATCTTCACAAAACTGAGATAATTAACCATTTGCCTATTTTCATGAAGATTAATATGTAGCTGAAAGTTGAATTAATCACTAGTCAGTTGTGGTTCAGGGCAGCTACAGGTCCATCTAGCCTTACATATGAATTTGAACACAAAGTAGGTTCTGTCCGATTTGCAATTAAATATTAGTTTTATTTTTCTCAAATACAAACAGTTGATCTCATTTCCAGGAAAGATACCCTACTGTGGCTGTAAAATGCAATTAAATCTCTTCTTACCAGTGCTACAGCACAATTTCATTCTATTTTGAATAGAAAATCCTTTAATATATATATATTGCTCAGATACTTCATATTACCAAATCAACCATATAGTTAAACAGGTTGAAATTCATACATACCAGATTTGATATGATAGATTGCTTTCCTCCTCTCACCTGCTTCTCTCCCTCCCTCTCTCCCTCATTGCTTTGTTTCTTTTCTCTTTACCCTTTTTTTCTGTCCCCATTTCCTTCTCTAGAGTGCCCTCACATCTTTCAAAGCTAGTTAAGCACTTCAACATCTCTGTCACTTGATGGATGGGTTTCCAAAATTGTCAATTCAGCAGTGCAGTGATGGTGTGAGGCAGGATAGCTGTAATTGTTAATTAAAGAATGAGTCTACAGGATTTGTGGTATCAGTCAAATGCTTGGAGACAGCAAAATACATTTAAAATTCCAGGTGAAAGCCAGAGAGCTCAGTTT